CTCTCTCTCTCTCTCTCCATTTTTGTCAGTTCAGTATACGTCCTAATTATTACTGTTTGGGATGCCAGCGCCGTTTCCTGGCCGGACTCGATCATGCTGAAATAAAGAGCATGAAGGCGCACACGTGGGTTTCTACAGAAGCCCTAAATGTCACTCTTTCATTCCCATGAAATCCCCGAGATGAGCCTACGTTGAAATCCCATTCAAATTAAATAAAATGTAAAATACCTCGTGTTAAAGGATCAAATAGGCTATAAATATTAACATGCAATATCTGGCCCGAGGGGAAGTTCACTGCTTGTGTGTGTGTGTGTGTGTGTGTGTGTGTGTTGTGTGTGTGTGGTGTGTGTGTGTGAATGTGTGTGTTTAAATGTGGATGGGTGAGCGCGCGTGTGTACAACAATAATATACATTATGCTCTCTGAAAAAAAGTTGTTAATTAAATTAAGAGAAGTGCACAAACAGAGCTGTCCCTTCCTGGTGAAAATATCAAACATCTGAACTCAAATGACAAAAATAATAGCAAAATAAAGTCAGTTATATGAATAGCATCTACAATCTCTCGTCCATGGGAAATTTGAGTAATATGTCATGAGTCCTCCACAAGTCCTCGACGAGTCTGGAAGTAGTTTTTACTTTCGGTTATCTAGCTTTATGACGAGCAGAACACTCATACAGCTAGATAACCAAAGATAACAACCCACTTCCCAATCTTCAGCAATAATCCACATGTACATTTCCTCTTCTGGTCTCCAAGTTTCCATCTCTCAGAACTCAAATATATTAAGCAAAAGTCATCAGTATCCTTTTTCAAGTCACAATGTGCATTATATTCCTTATATTCCCTTTTTGCCATCGAGGGCCACTACTGCACAGCCCGAACTGTTATACACCCGGTGTAAAAAGGCGGCAATTCTTCGAAAAAATGATATATTATCCCAATGTTAATGTCATATTCACTTGACATTAACCAATATTACTGAGTTGAAGTAGGCCTTGAAAATCGCGGGTAAGGTGCAGTCATCCTTGCACAGGGGCCCTAATTTGCAATGCAAATAGCTCCAATCCCACAAAAGGCTCTTTCGCCTCTATTAAGTCGTTGTGGCAGTAGCAATAGATATCCTGTGAGGCCGGCGGAGAAGAAACACGGCAGAGAAGGGGGGAAATCCGGTTTCCTGTGGAAAGTGCAATCACGGCACAGGGAATTACGACGCAAACGTTTCGGATTATAAAGACAGGAGCTTGCTTTTTGGCCAAAGAGTGTCAAGTTGTCCTTTCACATCCAGCATACTTAAAGGAGAGATAAAGCCGATGACTCTGAGCCAAAGGGTCCGTTCTGCAGGTTGCATGGTCGGTCGGTCTGAAAAGAGTGGGGGAATAAGGGCCATCCCCAAACGATAGGGGGGCTGGGGGTGGCCAAAATATGGACCAACCCCGGTGAGGTCAAAGGCCTCGGACCACGACAATGTAACTGCGATGATGTCATGAAAAAAAAAATCGCAAATGCTCCCTCCTATCCATGCACAATCTCCATCCATTACACAGAGCGCGCTGGAATAAGTCCGCCTGCATCGAGCAGCCTGCACGCCTTCTCTCACACAGGGATGAAAATGGATGACAGGGAAACCATATGTTGTTTTTTTTTACACAGAATGAGAGCGACACGGCTGCTTTTAATAGGAGATGCGAGCAGATTTAGTACCCGTTAAACAATAAAAAATGAAACAACTCAATGAAGAGAGCATCCTGGAGCTGCCTGAGCGCCAGCGTCCTCTGTCTATCCAATGCAGGCTATATTTTCTATTCGCAATAACACGCTGATCGCTCGCTCACTGCTCTCCTCATCCTATACGAGGCACCACTGTAGGAGTTAAATTGCTCTCACGTACTCGATCTTTGCGTCGAAATCCGTACTAGCCTCGTGTGTGTGTGTTTTTTTTGTGGTCATCGTCGCATCGGAAGGGTACAATGGGTATTCAGGCTGCTGGCGAAGTCGCCCCACGCGAAATAAAGCCCAAGCGCTTCGCCGTGTTCGCGTGTTAACCCGCTCACTTTCCCACAGATGTGTAAGTAGTTAACCGATAGCTCAGCACAAAATGGGTCAATATATAATATCTTTGTAACTGAATCAACAATAACAGGCAGTGAAACATGTGATGGATCATGCGCAGGAGCATGCGACTGCAGGTTACCGAGTCAGTACCTTCTGCACAACTTTGATTCTGTTCGGACCATAAAACACTCCCAATTCAGGGGGGNNGGGGGGGGGGGGGGGGGTTAGCCTCTGACAGCAACCCATTAAATTCATGTGTGTCTGTATGTGAGCGAGAACTTGTGTGTGTGTGTGTGTGTGTGTGTCTGTCAGGAGAAGTGAACAATCAGGTGGTGACAAATTAACACCGTATTATTTGTCAATGGCATCGTCAGCGTTTTTTTTTCTCCAGGTGTCCCATTCACTTGCTACAGTTTTAGACCTGGCTCTTAAGTTTACTCTCGCTTCGTCGGTGGGAGGGGCGAAGCAGAGGTGTTTTAATGAGCAAATATGAGTCACAGGGCCTGTGCATTTCAATAAGGGATCAGTTACTATAAACAGCACATAAACTCCACATCTATTGCATTCTTAGTTCTGTTTCAACCATCCCTATATAAAAAACATATTCTACCCGCACCAAGTGACACAAACCAGAAGCCTGAATTTGTCCAAATGTCCCTTGTGCCATGGAAAACACTTTACGCATACATTGTTCATCTCTTTATTTCCTGTAATGAATCAACGATTTCCACACACCCACAATCATTCTGTCCCCCTGATGTGGATCTGATGTGGATCTGAAACTATAAGGCCAACTTCATATCGTTAAGATCAACGTTATAAAGCACACCTCATTAGGGTAAAGGAGGCTTCAGAATAGGCCTCCCACACAGAGGCCATGCTTTAATCACAGCACACCATTTTTTTAACTTACAACCTGCTGATCCTCTTGAAATTATAATAAGCTGTATATCCGTGAAGGTTAATGATACAGTGCTGAGAATCCAAAAAAAATTAACAGAAAAATAGCAGAAGGGCGCAATTCCATCCGTATTATTAGCTATATTATTTGAACAAACGAGGCTTTGGTGCGTAATAACACATGGATAAACAATACAATGAGCGCTTTGTTTTCAAGACATTGTGTGACGATTTCGGTGACGTTATTCATTCAATGTAAAGCCAGCTCTTTACTTTTGTTTCAGCACAACATTTCAACTCGTTTTCTGAAGAAATAGAAATAAATCCAGCAAATTTTATGCGATTTGCTGGTGTGTTTTTGTTCGTAAATGTGTCCATTTTTATTATTTCTCTGAAATAATCTCAAACACCTCGCTCCCGAAATCACCTCTCTCACACTAACTAAACACAGTGTCGTTGAAATGTGCCTTATGTAGGCCAAATAATAATGATAATTTCAGGAAACAGCAGTTTTAATAAGATGTCATTTTTCCCCAAAAAGTAGAGAAGCAGATAAGCAGAGACGCATCCACTGCTCAGAGATACTGCCGAATAAACTCTAAAGTGAACTTAATTGCAGGAGGCAGAATATAGCGAGAGACGCCGGCCATGAAGTGAACAATAAAAAAGCAATCAGTATTAATATGAATCACACACACTTGAGGCAGACTTTACGAAGTTACCGGTCAGTGTGGAGTGGATATCCAGCTGCTTCCAAAAGGTGCCAAAAAAGTCAAATCCGTGCGCCCTAATTCCAAAGTGTGTGAGGAAACATTCACAGTCACAAACTTCACATTTCCCACTAAATACGTGGAATCTCAGCACACATCACCAGTCCTCATCTACTCTTAACAAAAACAACTGCACATACTATCTATTACTTATCGATAGCCTTATATTTAACTTTTGCGCACATGGGGAACCTTTACGCACACGGTTGCCTTTACGCAGCCTATTAAAGCAGGCACAAAAGTTGCACTTACTTTCTGAAGGTGAGTCAAATCACTGCAGTCGACCAGAAAGCGTCCCAAGCAGGAGAAGACCAGCGGTGTTCAGTTGTGTCCGTGGTGTACCGTGATGTGTATGTTCCCCTCAAATATCCCAGCCGTATTATTTGGTGGGGGGGCATCACTTTAAAATTACCGCTAACACTCAGTAGCCTGCATTAGGCGTGCTTCAGCTGCTCTGTGCAAAGCATGAGCACATCCCAAGCACATGATAGACGAAGAGAAGGAGAAGGAGGGAGGGGGCTGGGTGAGGGAGATTTATCCTATTACGCCTCCTGATTGGTGCCTGAGTGTAATTCCATCGCCAACTGCCTATCCATAGATTGGCGGCTTTGGATATAAATGTGTGCACATCTTCCTGATTGGCTGGATGAGGTTCGACCGAACTCAGCGCGATCTATTGCCTGGGCTAATTCAAAACCATTGATTACACGGCTTGCAGTTTTGAGTATGGCATGGCTGAGTGTTTATCATCGTGCCTATAGCAGGGCTTGAGGGTCTGGTCCTGCTGAGTTTGTTTTTATTCATTGCCTCTCTGATTTTTTGGTGCTGCCTGATGCTTGTTTATCCTACGCCTCCTTCTGTATTTTGCTGTTTCATGATCTGTAAATGATTCTAGATACGGTCAATAGTTTTGGGAATTGGCCATGTAGCAAAATCTTTCCCCTCTTCTGGAAGAACCGGGGTTTAAATGCGGTGGTCTCCCTGATCGGCTGCCCTGAGTGCTGACCAACGCCTCCTGATTTTGGCGGTATTGTGGCCTTGACCTCAAGTGCAAGTGAATGGTATCCTCGCACCGGGAAGTGTCCCGGGTGCTCGCCAGGCAGTATAGATAGATTCCATACGCACCTCCTTATTGGCTGGCTGAGTGTTACACGCCTCTGAATTGACCTCTGAGTGTTACCAATGCCTCCTGTTGGCTGGATGAGTGGACACACCTCCTTGATTTGCTGGCTTGAAGTGTTACGAGCCTCCTGATTGCTGCCCTGAGTGTTCCCCGCCTCCTGTGGGCTGTTCTAACAGTTAAAGGTCTCCTGATTACCAACTGCGAGGCTCCACTGTAAACTGGTCAGGAAGGAGGGAGAAGGCCACGCAAACGCGAAAGTTGCCTGACTCAGTTGGCGTCAACAAAGAACCGAGGGGAACTTTGGTTGAATTTCAGACGGTCTCACACAGAGGATGGACTACCCCCCCACAGCCCTCTTCTCATCATCTCATCATTTCTCCTATCCACAACCACCAAAGGGAGAAAAAAAAAAAAACTTGCCACACCTCTGAGACTTCAAACTGTGCATCACCTTTTCCTATTTTGTGTTGTGACGTATGGGAAGTGTCTCTTCCCTAACTCTCTCTCTCGCCGCACAAATTCATCGTATTATTATATGATTTATTGAACGACTTTGTTGCCGTAATAACACATGTCACATACAAATTGAGCGCTTTTTTCAGAAATTGTGTCGATTTCGTGCGTTATTCATTTCAATGTAGCCACTCTTCTTTGTTCAGCACAACATTTCAACTCGTTTTCTGAGAAAAAAGAAATAAATCCAGCAAATTATGCGTTGCTGGTTGTTTGTTAACTAAATGTGTCCATTTTATATTCTCTAAATAATCTCAAACACCTCGCTCCGAACACCTTTCACATAACCAACCACAGTGTCGTTGGAGATGTGCCTTATGTAAGGCCAAATGTATATGGATATTTCAAGGAAACAGCAGTTTTAATTAAGATCATTTTTCAAAAGTGAGAAGCAAGATAAAGCAGAGACGCCATCCAATGCTCAGAATATGCCGGAATAAAATCTAAGTACTTATTGCAGAGAATATAGCGAGAGACGCCGGCATGAGGAACGTTAAGCAATCAATTAATATATCACAACCACTTTGAGGCAGAATTTACGAAGTTCGTCAGTGTGGAGTGGATATCCAACTGCTTCCAAAGCTGCCAAATCCAATCCGTGCGTAATTCCAAAGTGTGTGGAAGAACATTCCACAAAGTCACAACTTCCATCCACTAAATACGGTGGAATCCTCAAGCACCAATCACCAGTCCTCACTATCTTAACCAAAAAACAACTGGACTGCATATCTATTACTTATCAAGCCTTATATTTAAAACTTTTGCCGCACATGGGAACCTTTACGCACCGGTTGCTTTTACGCAGGCCTATTTAAAGCAGGCACAAAAGTTTTGGCACTACTCTGAGGTGAGTCAAATCACTGCAGTCGACCAGAAAGCGTCCAAGCAGGAAAACCCAGGTTCAGTGTGTCCGTTTACCGGATGTGTATGTCCCCTCAAAATATCCCAGGCCGTATTATGGTGGGATCACTTTAAATACCTAACAACTCAGTCTGCATTTAGCGTTGTTCAACTGCTCTGTTGGCAAAGCTTGACAATCCCAGCACATGATAGCGAAGAGAAGGAGAAGAG